TATTTTATTTTTCAGTACACTGTGACCAAAGCCATACAATGTTACCATAGTAACACTGAACTACTCTGGGCAAGTGATCAAGAATTTTTTTTTTTTAACACATGATGATTGCTAATACCGATGTATTTCATTGATATTTGCAATCGTTGTTATTGAATGAAACTGATTCATTAATCCCCACTGACTTTTTAAATTTTTTGTTAAATAAAACAAAAAAAAAACAAACTTTTTTTTTAAAAACCTGCACTTTTCTTCATTTCGGTTATAAAATTTTGCAAATAAATAAAATTTCTTCATAAATTTAGATCAACATGTATTCTGCTACATTTCTTTTGGTGATAATAATAATTGAATTTGTATTTTTTTTTTCAAATGTTTCTATTATTTTTTATTACATTTTTTTTTTTTTTTTTTTTTTACTATTTTATTTTTCAGCACACTGTGACCAAAGCCATACAATGTTACTATAGTAACACTGAACTACTCTGGGCGAGTGATCAGGATTTATTTTTTTTAACACATGATGATTGCTAATACCGATGTATTTCATTGATACTTGCAATCGTTGTTATTGAATGAAACTGATTCATTTAGTCTTTTGCTGTGATTAGCTGTGATTGGGCAAAGCTGATCACATGATACAGGTGGGCTGGGATTGGCCCTGTCTGTATCATGTGACTGCCTTGCCAATGGGACATCTGGATGATATGAGGGCTGCTTCCATACACAGAGGATCTCCTACGGAAACTATTTTATATCGGGGGTAAGAAGGGCCAAATTTCAAAATAGGCACTGCAGGCACTTGCCTACAGGCGCCCTTCCTAGGGGGGTGCCCGTCTGTATGAGTTTTTTTTTTTTACACCTGTCCCGAGGACCCCGGAAATGAAGGTCAGCTGAGCTGCTTGCAGATGTAACCAAATCAGATGCTGGCCCCTACCTCTTCTGGTCTCCAGCAGCTGATCAAGTGTTTCTATTGGCGAATTGACGCTTGCAGTGATTGGACGGGACTTGGGAGGGGGTGTGGCTGCCTTGGAGGTGTCGCAGGCTCAGTCTGGTTGCAGACACTGTGAATGCAGCCATCCCTGTTCCAGTAGGTACTGGGGGAGGGAGGTGAGTGGAGGAGTGCGGGCAGGGGACAGTGAGGATCTCTCTAGGCGGAGGAGAGAGGGCACTGGGAGTGAGTCCCTGTCAGTGATGGAGGAGTCTCTGTACAGCAGTCCTGCACACAAAAGAGGGATGAAGGGGATCACACTGAACAGGTCACTCTGTACACAATGCAGCATCACCCCCTCCACAGAGTTGTGAGGGGGCTGTAGTCACCAGAGTTCCCTCACCAAAGTGCAAGGGGACCTCTGCGGACTCTGATGTAAAGGGGACCTCTACGGACCCTAATGTAAAGGGTACCTCTGCGGACCCTGATGTAAAGGGGACCTCTGCGGACCCTGATGTAAAGGGGACCTCTGCGGACCCTGATGTAAAGGGGACCTCTGCGGACCCTGATGTAAAGGGGACCTTTGCGGACCCTGATGTAAAGGGGACCTCTACGGACCCTGATGTAAAGGGAACCTCTGCGGACCCTGATGTAAAGGGGACATCTGCGGACCCTGATGTAAAGGGGACATCTGCGGACCCTGATGTAAAGGGGACCTCTGCGGACCCTGATGTAAAGGGGACCTCTGCGGACTCTGATGTAAAGGGAACCTCTGCGGACTCTGATGTAAAGCGGACCTCTGCGGACCCTGATGTAAAGGGGACCTCTGCGGACCCTGATGTAAAGGAAAACTCTGACGTAAGAGGGAACACTGTGGACCTTGATGTAGAAGGGAACACTACTGATTGTGATCTAAAGGAGGGGGGCTTAGGTTACCAGAGACCCGCTTACATCAGAGTTCCCCTTACAACAGAATCCTCAGAGTTCCCCTTTACATCAGGGTCTGCTGAGGTCTGCCTTGCATTGTAAGGGGGAACCCTGCAGACTCTGGTGTAAAGAAGAACTCTGGTGTAAAAGGAAACACTGTGGACCCTGATGTAGAGGGGATCACTACTGACTGTGATGTAAAGGGGGAACCCTGCAGACTCTGACTCTGCTATCTCTCTGATGGGTTTGTTTGTTTTTTCAGCCTAATGATGGCTTCACTGATAGTGACAGCTCTTTGGATCTCATCTTGAGAGTTGACAGCAACAGATTCCAAATGCAAATAGCACACTTGAAATGAACTCTGGACCTTTTATCTGCTCATTGTAATTGGGATAATGAGGGAATAACACACACCTGGCCATGGAACAGCTGAGAAGCCAATTGTCCCATTACTTTTGGTCCCTTAACAAGTGGGAGGCACATATGCAAACTGTTGTAATTCCTACACCGTTCACCTGATTTGGATGTAAATACCCTCAAATTAAAGCTGACAGTCTGCAGTTAAAGCACATCTTGTTCATTTTATTTCAAATCCATTGTGGTGGTTTATAGAGCCAAAAATGTTAGAACTGTGTCGATGTCCCAATATTTATGGAGCTGACTGTATGTGTCTCAGGTGAGGTGCCTAAAAGAGCAGACCACACCGCTCCATCTCCACCATCAGGAGCCATGGGAAAGACCGGGTACTTTGAGGTGTTGCCCCTCGTGGTGAGTCTTTGCCCCCACCCACTTGTGACACAACTGTTTAGTCTCTATACAGTCTATCTGTGATTTTGACTTCAGTATTTTCCCTTGATCCAAAAATAAAAGTATCTCCTAACCCCAACCAGTACTGTCCTGCTGGTCCTGAGGGCTCATTAATGAAATGCCAAAGAATGATGACCCTTATGATGTACCTACCCTCCCCTTTGTCACCAGGGCCATGGATAAGGAGGTACCCCCAGTCGTCCTGTACGTGGCCCAGGCCAATGGGGGGGGGGGGGCAGGCAGCTGGTTGAATCAGATGTGGGCAGAGCCAGAGAGGATGGCTTCTTCTCCCGTCCCTCCCGCTAGCTTTCAGCTGCTGCAGAGAGAGCCATACGAGGGGTCTGTTCCAGTAATTGTCACCCATCACACTCCCTGTGCACCATGCGTTTCCCCCTGCTGCCTAAACCCCCTGTGTGCCCCCACCCCCACAATGCTGCCGGCTTCTCTCCTCTCAATTCCAACGACATCGGCAAGCACACAATAGGATCCTTCAGGATGGAGAGTGGGGGAAAAGTCCGGTAAATTCATCACATTTACCAGCCCATTCCTTTCTTGAATAAACACAATGAGTGATCATAACCACTCACTGTGGTTGTTCATAACTGAAGCATAGTAAACTGTGGGGGGAGGGTTTTGGTGGAGGGGCCCTGTCAGGTTGGCTGTATGGGGCCCCGTGGTTTCTAACAGAAGCTCTGCTTGTCACCACACCAATAACATCAACTTACTGCTGGTTGCAGGCTCTGCTGCTGCTTTCCCCTGGATTCTGGTAGGTTCCAGAATTGAATAGGTGGAGGAGAAAGACCCTCATCTTCATATTCATGCACCTCAGCTAGTCCCTGGCAAGAAAAATGGCCAGTATGGGGACTGAAGTGTGTATATATAGTCTGGGGCCTTGAACAGTAGGGTCATGGTTCCTATGGGAGAAGACCCAGCCCAAGGGCTGAGGACCTCTTGGCTGATAGCTTCAGCTTAGAAGAAATCTATCTGAGCCCCAGCTCCAGCTAGAGCTAGGAGGCCCATGTCCAGAGCTCCTGAAACACAGTGCAGAAAGTTCACTGAGGATCTGACCTGAGGCATCCAGTACAGAAGCTGGCTGGTACTGCAGGAATGCATGGGAGGACAGGCCTAAAGATCCCAGAGACTGTCCATGTCACCTTTTGGCAGAGCTCGCTTGCAATCTATGATCCTTACCATACATGCATATCACCCTTCTGGCTAGGTTGCTAACAGTGCAGGTAAATTATTTCTCTGGCTCCCCTTTAATAGAGGATCAGTGTTCACTTGCTTTTGGCTGTTCTGTGTTCTGCTGGTTGCAGGCTCTGCTGCTGGTTTCCATGAGATTCTGGTAGGTTCCAGAATTGAATGGGTGGAGGAGACAGACCCTCATCTTTGTATTCATGCACCCTCAGCTAGTCCCTGGCAAAAAGAATGGCCAGTAGGGGGCTGAAGTGTGTATACATAGTCTGGGGCCTTGAACAGTAGGGTCCTGGTTCCTATGGGAGAAGACCCAGCCCAGGGCTGAGGACCTCTTGGCTGATGGCTTCAGCTTAGAAGAAATCTATCTGAGCCCCAGCTCCAACTAGAGCTAGGAGGCCCATGTCCAGAGCTCCTGAAACACAGTGCAGGAAGTTCACTGAGGATCTGACCTGAGGCATCCAGTACAGAGGCTGGCTGGTACTGCAGGAATGCATGGGAGGACAGGCCTAAAGATCCCAGAGACTGTCCATGTCACCTTTTGGGAGAGCTTGCTCTAGTTTGCTGCCTCAGGCTTTACCTTTGCAAAGGGGTCCCTGGAGTTGTTGTTCACTAGTTACCAAACACAAGAGGGTAGCTGCAGCCTGAAGAGGCAGAACAGTTAGAGGTGTCCTCCATTATATTTCTGCGAGTTTGGAGTATCCCAAGCCTCACCAGCACCCTGCCCAAGGTATACTACCAAATAAACTCCAAAAAGACATGCACTGCCTGCTTTCTGAGTTGAGTGACTGTGAATCTCACAGGGAATGTATCACGTACCTGGTGGTGGAGGCCAATGGAGAGAGGGCTTCCCTTGCGGCTAGTTCTGGACTCCCCTGAGAGTGGGACAGCGGGAGTCAGGCCCAAAGTTGCACAGGTCGCCTGTAGGAGTGCTGGTTGGTGGTCCACTCAGAAGCACAGCTGGTGCACAGAAATAGGTCTGCAGGCCCTTCCGGGATTTAGATGTTTACTGGGTAGTTGGTTCAAGGCAAGGTCAGGTACCAGGTGGGAATCAGAGCAGACGTAGTCAGATGGGATAGCCGAGGTGTCAGGGCTCCGGGTATGACCAGAGGTGTGTGGACTGACACAGGGAAATGCAGGCTTCAGGTATAGAGTAAACAAGACAAATTATTAAAGACTAAACAACACAAACGCAATGCAAGGTAAACATAACACAGTGCAAACAACCCAACCTCCAACAGATAACTATATATACAAATCAAACGTAGTCGGGCGGGCCAGGTCAGTAGCAAACGGGCAAACAGGGTACCAGGAGCGAGCGGAAGAGTGGTCAGGAATAGCCGAGGTGAGGACAGGTGGAGTTTGTTCAGAGTCAGGATCAAAGCAGAATCAGGATCAGGCAGGAAGCAGACAGGATGCAGGTACAGGGGCTCATGGGAAACATACACCAAGGCCCTGACTGCAGGCCTGGCCACTCCTTAAATACACCTCCTGCAATCAGCCTCAGGTGATGACTTGATTGCAGGAGTGAGCTTCTGGCTGCTGAGAGCACCCGCTGGCTAGCCCTGGTACTGCAGCCCACATGGCAGGTGAGTCCCATCACCAGTGGTGAGTCCATTCCTGACACGAGGTCATACACAGAGGAGCGAGAGTATTTGTAATCCAAGCCGAGGTCAGATCAGGGGTAAAGTAGACAGGTCCAGGAGCAAGCCGATTCGATAACAAGAAATCACAGGTCACAATCACAGGAAACAGGGAACGGGGTACGGGGAGCTAGAGATCATCAGCAACAACTTGAGGAAGTGATGAGCCTCCTTATAAAGGCCGTTTGGCACCAAACTGAGGCTGATGTGTACTTCTGCGGCCATGAAGAGCACTGGCAGAAATGCCAGATCTTCCAGAACTTCTGCCGTGGACAGGACCCTGACAGAATGGAACCTGGGGATAATACAGCTAGCCCAGTTCTGGGTTTGCGCAACAAATACTAGGACCGATTCACCTAGTAGTATTTCGTTGGCGTGTGGGAGGGAAAGCAAACTGCGTACACATATGTCCTGAACGGGATCTGAATCAAGGACCCCAGTAAGGCCAGTCAAACGCGCTAACCACTAAACCACTATTCTGCCTGTTTTTACCATCCCCACAACCAAAGATCTCTACTGGCACAGACGATTACAATAAACATCTCACATCAATGACCAACTCAGCCCTGAAAGACAAGCAGAACAGATGTGCCGAGAGCTCGGCTTGTTTTATATACACAGAGATGGCACATTCAGAGCCTCTGCTCCTCCGATGGAGCAGATAATGAGGAAACAACACAGATTTACTGACCTTCAAAGCAGCGGTGATGAAAAACAAGAAAACAACCCTGACATGACTGAACAAACACAGATCACCAATAAAATAAACACAGAGAATATTTTTTTTTTTTTTAGAGAAGAACAAACACCACGTTATAAAAAGAAACGCATAAACACAGCCAACCCTTCTTTAGTCATTGTGTTGGCTTCACCCCATTCCAACTGCGGCGGAACGGACAATAATTAGTACTGTCATCGTGTTTAAACTTGCTGCAGCTTTTCCCGAACCTCTTCTTGGGTTTGCCGTTACTTCCCAGCCGACGCTTCCAATTTATTGGCTTTTTTGAAGAATTCTTCCTCTCCCGATGCCAGGTACATCTCTACACTATGGAAATAAAACTCAGAGTCTCGTGGTGTTATTGGGTGTCCTTAAATCTTTTTCCAAAAATGATTCAATACTACTAGAGTATTGTTCTGTGTTGGCCACCGATCGATGAAGAAAGTTTGGGATTTAACCTCCGTAGCGGTCTGATTATGTCCATATTTCTGCGCTCAAAGCGGTACATTTATTTGCATGGAAATATGTCATTTTTTTTATTGTAGGCCTGTAATTTTTAGGAATAACTCACTGAAATCTGTCCGAACAAGAGTCTAGTAAACATCCCGGGGATGATAACATTTGAAACACGAAATCATAAATTATAATATAATAAATAATCATAAATAATAATAAATGTAATTCAATAATATAATCAAACCAAAAACACTGAAATGTGAAATAGAGCGCCAAGTTCGCACATCGCTGAGCTCAGTCGCAGAATCGTTTTCAGTGTCTGATGAGGAATTTCCCCCACGAATCATTATCACTCAATTCTGCAAGTGGTTCTGATTTACTATCGCTGTTCTCTAGCCGGTCTAAAACCGATTTTGACGCTTTTTTCGACGCCATGGGCGTTTCTCAGTTTCCAGGCAGAAAGAACAGTAAAAAAAATGCAGGCAGGGCGCCGGACAAAGCACTCGGGACAAAATGTATGTGAAATGGTTTGATACAGGAATGTTATACTATGTGATTTTAGTGGATTTAGTGAATGTCACTTTTACAACTTTCAAGTTTCCCGCCAGTTCCGTCCCCCGTACGTCCCGACGTCGCAGGGAACGGAACCCGGAAGACAGATGCCGGCATCGGCCGGAGGACATTGCCGGGGACATCGGGGGAGTGCAGGACAAGGTAAGTGAAGAACAGATGCCGGAGCAGCGCTGCAGTGTACTCCTGAGTGTAGCTCAGGGGGGTTACCGCTTGTGGTGCTGAAACTTTACCCCGAGCTACACTCGGGAATACCACCAGGGGGGTTAAATCTTTTTCCAAAAACGATTCAATTCTACTAGAGCAGTGGTGGGCAGCCTTTTTTTTCAACTGAGCCAAATCTCGCCAAAACCACGATTGAAATTTATTTTGAGAGCCACATTTTTAAAACTGAAAATACGTCCCCCATATAGTAATTCATCCCCCATAGTATTTCATCCCCCATAGTAATTCATCCCCCATATAGTAATTCATCCCCCATATAGTAATTCATCCCCCATAGTAATTCATCCCCCATATAGTAATTCATCCCCCATAGTAATTCATCCCCCATAGTAATTCATCCCCCATATAGTAATTCATCCCCCATATAGTAATTCATCCCCCATATAGTAATTCATCCCCCCTAGTAATTCATCCCCCATATAGTAATTCATCCCCCATAGTAATTAATCCCCCATATAGTAATTCATCCCCCCTATAGTAATTAATCCCCCATATAGTAATTAATCCCCCATAGTAATTCATCCCCCATATAGTAATTCATCCCCCATAGTAATTCATCCCCCATAGTAATTCATCCCCCATAGTAATTCATCCCCCCTATAGTAATTCATCCCCCATATAGTAATTCATCCTCCATATAGTAATTCATCCCCCCTATAGTAATTCATCCCCCATATAGTAATTCATCCCCCCTATAGTAATTCATCCCCCATAGTAATTCATCCCCCATATAGTAATTCATCCCCCCTATAGTAATTCATCCCCCATAGTAATTCATCCCCCCTATAGTAATTCATCCCCCATAGTAATTCATCCCCCATATAGTAATTCATCCCCCATATAGTAATTCATCCCCCATATAGTAATTCATCCCCCATAGTAATTCATCCCCCCTATAGTAATTCATCCCCCATATAGTAATTCATCCCCCCTATAGTAATTCATCCCCCCTATAGTAATTCATCCCCCATATAGTAATTCATCCCCCCTATAGTAATTCATCCCCCATATAGTAATTCATCCTCCATATAGTAATTCATCCCCCCTATAGTAATTCATCCCCCATAGTAATTCATCCCCCCTATAGTAATTCATCCCCCCTATAGTAATTCATCCCCCATAGTAATTCATCCCCCCTATAGTAATTCACCCCCCCTATAGTAATTCATCCCCCATAGTAATTCAATCCCCCTATAGTAATTCATCCCCCATAGTAATTCATCCCCCCTATAGTAATTCATTCCCCATAGTAATTCATCCCCCATAGTAATTCATCCCCCATATAGTAATTCATCCCCCATATAGTAATTCATCCCCCATAGTAATTCATCCCCCCTAGTAATTCATCCCCCATATAGTAATTCATCCCCCATAGTAATTAATCCCCCATATAGTAATTCATCCCCCCTATAGTAATTAATCCCCCATATAGTAATTAATCCCCCATAGTAATTGATCCCCCATATAGTAATTCATCCCCCAATAGTAATTCATCCCCCATAGTAATTCATCCCCCATAGTAATTCATCCCCCATAGTAATTCATCCCCCCTATAGTAATTCATCCCCCATATAGTAATTCATCCTCCATATAGTAATTCATCCCCCCTATAGTAATTCATCCCCCATATAGTAATTCATCCCCCCTATAGTAATTCATCCCCCATAGTAATTCATCCCCCATATAGTAATTCATTCATCCCCCTATAGTAATTCATCCCCCATAGTAATTCATCCCCCCTATAGTAATTCATCCCCCATAGTAATTCATCCCCCATATAGTAATTCATCCCCCATATAGTAATTCATCCCCCATAGTAATTCATCCCCCCTATAGTAATTTCCCCCATATAGTAATTCATCCCCCATATAGTAATTCATCCCCCCTATAGTAATTCATCCCCCATATAGTAATTCATCCCCCCTATAGTAATTCATCCCCCATATAGTAATTCATCCCCCATAGTAATTCATCCCCCTATAGTAATTCATCCCCCATAGTAATTCATCCCCCCTATAGTAATTCATCCCCCCTATAGTAATTCATTCCCCATAGTAATTCATCCCCCATAGTAATTCATCCCCCATATAGTAATTCATCCCCCATATAGTAATTCATCCCCCCTATAGTAATTCATCCCCCATATAGTAATTCATCCCCCATAAAAATTCATCCCCCATATAGTAATTCACCCCCATAGTAATTCATCCCCCATAGTAATTCATCCCCCATAGTAATTCATCCCCCCTATAGTAATTCATCCCCCATATAGTAATTCATCCCCCATAGTAATTCATCCCCCCTATAGTAATTCATCCCCCATATATTAATTCATCCTCCATATAGTAATTCATCCCCCCTATAGTAATTAATCCCCCATATAGTAATTAATCCCCCATAGTAATTGATCCCCCATATAGTAATTCATCCCCCATAGTAATTCATCCCCCATAGTAATTCATCCCCCATAGTAATTCATCCCCCCTATAGTAATTCATCCCCCATATAGTAATTCATCCTCCATATAGTAATTCATCCCCCCTATAGTAATTCATCCCCCATATAGTAATTCATCCCCCCTATAGTAATTCATCCCCCATAGTAATTCATCCCCCATATAGTAATTCATCCCCCCTATAGTAATTCATCCCCCATAGTAATTCATCCCCCCTATAGTAATTCATCCCCCATAGTAATTCATCCCCCATATAGTAATTCATCCCCCATATAGTAATTCATCCCCCATATAGTAATTCATCCCCCATAGTAATTCATCCCCCCTATAGTAATTCATCCCCCATATAGTAATTCATCCCCCCTATAGTAATTCATCCCTCCTATAGTAATTCATCCCCCATATA